AATGCAGCTGTGCTGTAGGGACAGCTGTAGGGCCTCCCCATACCCTCTGCAGAACTTACCCAGCAAAGACATCACTGGATTCAATGAAAGATCTAAAGCAAACAATAAAAACCTGATTTCTTCTTCTCTCTCTTTTCCTTTTGAAAAGGTCTGGCAGGAGGGCTGTATTTTAGCAGTTGCCCTTAGGTTTAGGAACCCACTGAAGAGCATGAGCCTGTAACTGTTGAACAGGTTTTTCCTAAAGAGGTGCAATTTGCATTGGAAATACCCAGAGAAAGTAGAAGCAATAAAACATAATTTTCTCTGGGGAGGCCATGCAGTGCAAAGACCCCAACAGGCATCTGAGGTTGGGGTTGGGGGGAGGGAGGGAGAGAGAGAGAGAGAGAACAGAGAAAATATGGTGAAAAACACTGGAGCTGCCACAGTGCTATAGAAATTCAGACACAGAGATAAATGTCTTGCTGAACAGCTCTTTCAAAGGTTGTCCCTTCATCTAACCTGGGCTATTCCTTAAAATGGGAAATGTTTCTTCATAGGATTTTACATCTTTATCTTGCAGCAGGAGGATGGTGGTTGGAGCAGGGAATGTGTCCTGTTCCCAGCTCTGTTGGTGATTACTCATGAACCAAAGTTCTCCTCACTTTTTTAATTCTGTTCTTCTATTAGACTCTTCTGCAGGTTTAAGAGTGTTTCTCTGGTGAGGATTTGAGAATGAACTCTGTGAAATCCTCCATTAAAGGCATCTCTAGCAAAGGGATTAAAGGTGACTTGCTGTAAGAGTAGATAGGGGGTGTGTATAAATGCTCCGTGCAGAGGTGCGAGATGGGCCATGAGGCAGGGCTGGTTAGCTGAGCTCCTAACAGCTTGGTGTTAGCAGCTCTGTTTCGTCTGGGACGTTGTGTTATTGCAACGTGGCAGGCCTGTGTTACTGTGATGCCCATGTATGTACGGATCCCTATGAGCACGTGCGTTGCAGATGCATCAAGGGACAATCAGGGGACAACCCTTCTTGGAGGTGACTTGTCTCCCTTTCTGTTGCAAGTGAAATTCTCCAGGGCATTCTCTGTGTAGCAGCACTGGATTATTTTAGATTGCACTTAGGGAAGGCCTGCAGGAAGGCCTGAAAGAGGAGGGTAGAGCACGTATCCAGGCAGGACCCTCAAGGACAGTCCATACGTCCAGTGACATACGTGTTCAGATTATCACAGAATAGAGGGGCCAGCACTGGTTTTTAATCTTCCTCAGACTTTGCCTTGTTTTATGCCCACTGTCCCCCCGCTAGGTAAATGTGGCCCTGGTGCCAGGGACTGAATTGATGCCATCTGTACCTTCTTGGCATAGGGCAGCGCTTGCAGGGTTTGCGTCTCCTCCAGGGCCCTGGCGGTGTGTCAGTGTGCCCTAACCTGATGGGGCCCCTCATCCAGTTAGCGAACCCTGTTCCTTTGGCCTGTTCAGTCCTTTGCTACTCTGCAGAGACCATAAATTAAGAGGACAAATAACGATTTGCTGTCCTGGCAATAGTGAAATAAGCAGCTATTCATTAAGAAATCAATTTGGATGCTATAGTGATGGGAATAATATAAGAACCAAGGTGGAAATGAGACCAGCATGCAGTTTTACACGTTGTTGTTTTCATGGCCACTGAGTCAGAGACTCCAGTCAGTGACCAAATCAGAGATGACTGATCCATACCCTATGTTCACGTGTCCTCCCCAAGCACCCAGTGACCTATTTCCAGCTCCTCTCTTTGAGGAGAATCACCAGAATGACATCTTGTTGCAAGAGGAGACAGTAGGGTCTTTATTCAGACAGTGTTCTGGAGCAAGGTGCTTTGTTATGGTGAGAAATACATTAGCAATAGCTAGATTAGCTAGAAAACCTCTTTGTTTTGTTTTTAGCTCTTCAGTTTTGCCTAGTAGCTGGAAGTCTGCTGCTGAACGTTATGGAACATTCATTGGGGCAGGTCATTTTTAAGCTATCAGTGGGACATGGAATAGCTAAATTTTGCCCTTCCCCCTTGGGCTGGGAACAAATGCTGGCAGAGACAAGACCTGGATCCTTTCCAGTTGCCATCAGGCACTTGCTGATCATGTCCGTATTTAAGCCAGATCTTTGTCCTTTCACTCATTTGCTTCGTTTTTCTTAATTATCTGCAAAGGACAGCCCTGGGGGGATGTAAGTGGTTTTATTTACGCATGCCCTTTTCACTGCTATGTCTGTATTGTTACAGGGACTCCCAGCTGGGAGCAGGAAAAGAAGTGGCAGCATTTAGGGATGTGCGGAGTATCCAGAATATGCACTTAAAACACAGAGGAAAAAAGGGCTGTAGAGGGAGAGGGAACATGACAGTTTGAATCCTAGGCACTTTTGAGACTATTTTTAAATGCTTTGTAGTGTTTTGGGAAGCAAGAGGTCAGCAGCTTGGCCAGAAGCAAGCCGAACGCAGACGGGTGCTCTTTATACATTACTCTGCTCATGCATCTCAGATATGGCTTGCAGCACCTGTGCTTTTCCTGCTCTGAACTTATTTCTGCATGTATGCCAGACCCTGCAGTCCTGCCTGCGCCCACACCTTGCTATTCCACTCAGCTGTGCTGAACTGTCAGACTGTGCAGTGGTTCTTTGCTGCTGAAGAACCGTAGAAAGGCTGAGGTAGAGCCATTTTCATTTGTGCCTCATTAGAGATGTGCCCCCAGATTTGCAGACTTCATGGGCTCTGTCAGTAGGAACTCCCCAGAGCTCACATCCCATATTCTCACATCAGTGTAGTCTCAATTCCCATTTCTTACTTTTATTCTCTCTCTTTCAGTTCGCTATTACTTTCTCTTTCTTTCTGTTTTTGTTGTACTCCACCACTTACAGCCTAGGAGAGCTTTTGTTTGTTAGGGTTTGCTTTAACCTTGTCAGACAAGTAAGCGAGCGCTGAAAGGCAGGTTGCTAGCCTAGCCAGAATCGTCTACGATGAATTTCTTGTACTAGCCAGGATACATTTTATATCATTTGCTGGACTTAGAAAGCAGATTTTTCCCCTACCTCAGCACTTCAGAAGGATCCTGAGCATCTCTGTGCTGTTCCCAAGCAGAGCACAAAGTTTTCCTTGAGCATTACCTGCAAAGCTTGAGCAACTGCTTCCTAGAAAGCATTGTCCGCATGCCAGGCTGGCACTATGATCAGGTAGTTATGAGAAGGAAAAAAATGTGCTAGCCTCATAAAGCTGTCTCTAGGCTCTGTTGTTAGGGACATGCAAGTTGGCAGCGACTGTTCCCGTTTGCAGTGATGAAAGGGGAGACACGAAAGATAATTTTAGGAGATTCTGCGTATTTTGCTTCCCTCAGAAGTACATGAGTGCCGGCATTCCCTCCTTGGCACCAGGCAGGCAGGTGAAGTTGCAGACATGCCCTGCTGCTGTTGCTGCCAGTTTGCTTTCTGTTGAAAGCAAAGCACATCTGGTGTAATTGGCAGCAGGCCTGTGTGGAGAGTTTGAGATTTGTACCTTTGTAGCTGGAATGGATAGTCTGCTCTGAGAGAGCATGTAGTTGCTCCAGGGAAACCCATGAAGCGTCAACAACATATGAGGAGTGTCAAGACAGCAGTGATTACATAAAGGCATTAAAAGTAGAGCACCCTTCCCCATCGACACCATCAGTGGTGTGTGTTTCAGTGTAGCTGAGGCCAGGGAGAGAGCATGCGTGCCCAGGGCTGCACGTTGGCTGAGGAAACAGCCAGCTCAGCCTGATGTGAGTAGAAAAGCGTGTGTCGACACCTGTAAAGATGGGCTATTCTCCGATCTGACAGGTTTTGCAGTGGCAGTTTATTTTCCATTCCTGGTACTGGGAAGGGAAGTAACGCTGGCTTTTGTGGTTACTGACACTGTAATTACAAGACAGTAGGCATCAGGATGGCCCCCTGAGCCTCTCCTGTCTTGGAGTGATCAGTAGGAAGACTGTGGGGAGTTCCCGATACTGAAAGACACTCAAAGTTGACCTGCTTGGAGGCAGCCCTAGCACCTTTGCTAGGGAGTCTGGGCTCCCTGCGCCTTCTAAAGGCATCCTTCATGATACAAATTCACTGTCTTACCCCTTGGTTGCCTTTATTTTTTGAGACGTGCAGAGTCTCAAGTGCAGATGATAAGGGGCAGAGCCAGGGTGGGGACCGTTTATTGGAGAGACTAATTTACAAAGCAAATGAGTAGCATAGCTGTCTCCCATGTCATGGGGAGACAGCACAGGGCAGTGGCAGGGGCTCCTAATTGCTGGGAGCTGGGATTGCGCCTGGCTCCATGGAGCACAGGGCAGGCAGTGCATACAGCAGGCGAATTCTCAGGTGTCTCTGCAGCACTGTCCCTGCAGGTAGGGCAAGGTTCTCTCTGGGAATGTCGGAGATAGCCCTGTAGGGGCATATGGCAGGAGGCAGTCTGATACGTTACTTGATCTGAAACCCACTGTGGTCAGCAGGATGCTTTCCATTGACTCTGGGTGCCACTCACTGACGAATAGCGAGCACAAGAATAACTGCTATGCCTTTGAGGGGTTATCTCTGAGGAGGGTTTTCCATCACGGTGTCACTGCAGCCAGCATCATGTGCGCATTACTGGAAACACTGGAGCCTTCCAGTCTCCACTGTGGCCCTCTCCCAACAGCCAGCTCCTGTTGCCAAAAGGATTTACTCCAGTTACACAGCTCACTGAATTATCTCCCATGACAGGGAAGAAAGCTTATTCAGTGATGAGAAATCATTACAAATTACAAGCTTTGAGAGTTTGGGACAAATGAACCCCCTAAATGCTGCCTGGTTGAACGCTCTGTCTGTTCTCTATGTGATAAATGACGGCTGACTTTTCTATCGCTAGGAAATGAATCACTGTGGAGGCAAAACCAAAAAGGAGCCTCAGTCCAGCTAGGAGACCTGAGAAGGAAGCTGCTGGAGGAGAGACGTGTACTAATTCCGCTGGCCTGTAGTCTGTCTTACCCTTACTAACAAATGTCAACAACTAGGTAATGTCCTTCCTTTTTTGTCTGACCCTAGCCCAGGGCTTGGGGATTAAGGTGCAGAAATGTTGGTTTTCTGAACTCTGTGGATGCTGTGTCTCAAAGGATGAGGTAGGGCTCAAGCCATGAGCCATGTAAAATAGAGTATCTGTTAGCTGGCCTAGAGCCTCTTGCAGTCCGCTGCTGAAAAAGAGATCTGAGTCTAGGATTGTAACCTGGGAACGAGGCTGGTAACTGGCAGGTAGAAGGGAGTATTTTACTGCATTCCTACGCTTTGGTGATGAGTGCAGAAAGTTCAGGTGGAGGGGAAGGTTTGTTCATTGCAGCTGTGAGGCCTTGAAATGGAGCAGGAATACAAATTTCTGAATTTCAGGGACTTGCACATAGCAGGATTGTGACTGTGCCCTGTCTGCAGCTGTTGTGCTTGGGGAGGGAGTGTGGGATGTTTCTAATCACATCAGATTCCACCAAGTCTAGGCAAAGAATGTGACAGTAGCCAGTGCCTGGGGTTTTAAAGCAAAGTCAAGTAAAGACCCCCAAGCCCTGATGCACCTGGACTGTTGCGTCATGGAAACATTCCTTCCTGCCTCCTGAAATACTCAAGTTACATCCTGATGCCTGAGACTTGATTTCTTAGCTCAGCTCATGTATTACTGGTTACAAAATCCAGGCAGTGCTTGGTTCAGTGCAGCAGCTGCACATTGTGTAGTGAAGTGTTTCCTTTAATTCATTCTTAAGTGACCCGCTTTTAATCCTGTGATGTGACCTCTTACTGCAGGATGCGCTTCCCAAGCATGAGTCAAGGAAGGAAGAGCTGTGTTGAGGGGAAGGCCCTTTTTGTGTTCATAGCCCAAATGCATCCTCCATCCACCCGCTCCCTTAGAGCTCCACTCACAGATCTCCTGGGAAGTACCGCTAACACAGCAGCCCGAGAATCATAAACCAGGCAAAGTCACCATGAACTGCCCACCAAGGTGCATGGGGATAGTGAAAGAAAGCTTCAAATCAGGCTAAAAGTAACGTAACCACAAATCATTAGCATAACTCTGTCCCTCCGGCTGTGTTATGCAGGATCGTCTGATATGCCCAGAACATGAGATTGTGATGTCCTATTTGCACATTTGTCTGCAAGTTGTATGTCTGTCCTTGAGTATATGTGCATAAAAGACTTAACCTCAGGACATAGCCAGTTATTGCTGGCATGACCAGGCTGTGGTCTCCGGTCTGTGACGACTGCAGAGGGGAGGAGAGAGACGTTCTAGAGAAAAGAAAGTCTACCTGTAGTTCGACGGCCATGGTGGCTTTGTTACTGTAGCAAGGGTATTTTCATAGCTCAGGGTCACTAGTGTGCAGGGAAAGCTGCTGCCATTATGCTGCCTGGGTGGTGGGCAAATAGGAGGCATAAACTGCCATGAGGCTTTTACTTTGAAATAGCATCAGCCAGCGGTCCGCAGTGGTTCATGAGTTTTAGAAGAGTGCCAAGGATGTGGGATGCTCCCTGGGAGAGCACAGAGAAGGCCAGAGATCTCGGAAATGGAGCTCACAGGACTGATAGAGGACACTGGTCCTGACCCTCCTGGTAAGGAGGGACACTAGATGATACCAGCCAACGTAGTGGGCAGTTGCTACTCCCTGTGCAGAGGCTCAGCGAACTGCTGCTTGTTGGGAGATGCTGGGTCCATGGGAGCTGTGGTGCTTAGTGCCTAGCATCTTGGATCCCTGGAGAGGGGGCGAATAGCAGAAGAGCCTCCAGCAGTGCAGAATGCAGCACAAGTGCCAGGAAGTCAGTGCACTTCCCATGTTGCTCAGCTTTCCCTTTGCCCTAACAGCTCTCTTCATTTCTGTTGCAGGGAACAGCCAATCTTCAGCACCAGGGCCCATGTTTTCCAGATCGACCCTGCCACCAAACGGAACTGGATCCCTGCCAGCAAACACGCCTTGACTGTCTCCTATTTCTATGATGCCACGCGCAATGTGTACCGGATCATCAGCGTGGGGGGCACCAAGGTAAGGGGCCTTTGCCGGCAGTATGGTGCAGCTTAACAAGTTTCTCTCCAGGCAAAGTCTGTTCTGGAATTGATGCTTTCTGTGTCAAGTTGGTCAGTTTTCAGCATAGGGCACTCCAGCATCTTCACCACAGGGAATGGAAGGTAAAAGAGTGCCTCCACGCTCAAGTGTATTTAGTGTTAGACAGTAGACTTTGTGTTGGTGGAAAGCATGTCCTAACACCCTCTCTCCCCAGAGCATGCAAAGCACATGTTCTTTCTGAGAGCCTTGGTCCTATGCTGAAACCAACCCCCATGGATATAATGAAATCACAGAAAGACAGAGGCTGAGGGACTCTCAGAGGTGGTCAGTTCAGTCACGTCCACAAAACAAGATTAACTCTCCCTAAACTGTTCTTGATAGATGATTTCCTGACTTTTTTCTGAAGACCTCCAATGGCAGAGATTCAGCAGTTTTCCCAGGCAATTTATTTTGGTTCTACCCTAACCAACAGAGAGTGTTTCGTAATAGCTAGCTCTGAGTGCTGTTTAAGCCCTTTCCTTTTTTTCATACTTACTGTGAAAATGGAGAACATCAGAAAGTTGTTCAGTCCCCAGAGATGCTCTGTCTCTTATCTTTTCTTCCAGCAATGGAGGCTCACTGAAGCTGACTATACTTTTTGCAGTAGACAGCAAAATTGAGATTTTTTTTTCACATCACGCAGCCGGACTAGAAAGGCTTTTGGTCACAAGCCTGAACTTCTTAAAAGCCCGCGCTCCTACTCCCAGTTCCTAGAGCGCGCAGTGATTACAGTGGTCAGAGCTCTCCTGAGACATCCCACACTGTCACCCTGGGCAGCAGGACAGAGGTTCTTCTGTCTCTTATTCTTCCCTCTCTCTACAGGCAATCATCAACAGCACTATCACCCCCAACATGACCTTCACAAAGACATCCCAGAAATTTGGACAATGGGCAGACAGCCGAGCCAACACAGTTTATGGTTTGGGCTTTGCTTCGGAGCAACATCTCTCCCAGGTAATGCTGCAGGTGCTGGCAGAACTCTGATCCCAGCAGGGGGAACGCTCCAGAAACCCTGAAGGAGATAGGCTCAGGAGAAAAGACTTCAGGATCCTGGTGTAACGCTGTTCCCACTGTGCTAATATCTAATGCAAAGATGCTAGGAAAAGCTTTAAAGTAGTATTTGCAAAGTCTTTTGAACATCACGAATTGAATTAGGACTTAGGGCCGAAAGCCTAAGTCACTTTCAAAAATATTGTCCCTACTGAATATGCTATCACTGCTTAGCTAATTCCCCAGCCCTGACTGCCAGAACCCTGGGTACGGATGGGAAGGGTGTATTCCCTGAATTTTATTGTTAATGGAATAGAATGTAAAAAAACATGTTGAATGAAGTAGCAAAGGGAGGAAGGATAACCTAGACATCAATTCTAGCTTGTTTTGCGTTTCAGTTTAGCAGCAGAGTGACTTTACCACTCCCTTCTAGTTTGCAGAGAAGTTCCAGGAAGTGAAAGAAGCAGCCCGTTTGGCAAGGGAGAAGTCCCAGGATAAAACAGAGCTGACCAATCCTGCTCTGAATATCACATCTCATCAGGTAATGCTTGGAAACCGGTGTGGGAAAAGCACATTGCAGAGAGGGGGCTGCTGGGGGAAATGGTCACCTTGCTGATCTCCTTGGGTAACCTGTGTATGCCTCTCCTTTCGTTCACGCTGCGAGCTTTCTTGCCAGACACTGAGGTTGGAGATTCACATTGTGATGACACCTATGGCCCTGAGGTCACTCTACTGAGGCAGATGAAGTGGATTAATTAATCACTGCTTAAGTGGAACTCCTGGGAAGGTTCATACCCCTCCCTCTTTGCCAGTTAAGGTGTCAAAACCACTTGATGTCTGATAAGGCCGCACTGGAGGAGTCATTTTGCTCTTCAGAGCTATTCGATCTCCCTGGGCCCAGCGTGATGATAATAGGTGAGCAGCAGACAGGAGTGCAGGTCACCTGGACAAAGATTGTGGGAAGGAAGACATGTGACTTTTGCAACCATTTGTGTTCCTTTGCTGGGGGGGGGGGGGTGGGGGGAAATTGGGCAGTTCTCTCCCAAATATCTCTGGTAGGTGAAGGTGCTGGCCCTGGAGGTCCGTGAAAAGACCAAGTGATTTCTTAGAGCTGGTGACTAGGGAGTCCTGGCCAGACTTTTTCCATTTCTGTCTCATTTCTACTGTGGAAGAGAAGTAGCTGAGCTAAGAGATCAGAAATCACTCTGCCCCCTTCACAACTCTCCACTAATGTAGAACTGCAAGCGTGACAGCCAGTCATTCAATTTTCTTTTCCCCAGGAGACCAAGGCAGAAAGCTTACACCCATCACAGGTAATTCTCCTGTGATGGTCATTCTCCTCTCTCCTTGTATAGCTAAACCAACTCCAGCAGCAGTAGGATGCAGGGGACGGGATATGCTGCAGGGAACTTTACCCCTCTTTTTCTCATGGTGTGGCAGTTCAGAGGTGACAGTAAAGTTACCCTCCCAAGTGGTGCACTCCAGAGGTGACTGTACATTTCCCTGAGCTCCTGGCAGCAGGAGAGGAGCTGTAGGATGGAGGACACCGCGTTCTCTGGGTTGAGTACAGATGGAGCGGCAGCAGAGAAGGAGGAGGGAGTGTGAACAGTACCTTGGCCTGCAGGGAAAAGAGGGGGAGTTGGAGGCGGTGGCTCTGCAGAGACTGGAAATGCCATGTGGGGTGGAAAAATGGGGAAAATCTGCCTAGTTTGTGGCTTCCCAGACTCTCTGTGCCCCATCCTAATGGCTGGCAAATGGAGGCAGGAGTAGAGTAGAACATGAACAGCAGAGCCAAACTTTTAGACAAAAGGCTCTGGTCAGCAATGGTTACCCAAGATAGCGATTCACAATCAGCTGCAGCTGTGAGAGCTCCCCTGGCCTGGGAGATGGAGGCTGGGAGTCAGGAGACTCCTCCTTATCCTGTTTACATCAGGTATCAGAGCAGGACACATCCATCTCCCCAGTCTGTGCTGCTATGACAGCTTGCAATAGGAGGGATAAGGTGGTTGGAAGTGAAGGTTAAAAACAGTTTGGGGAAGTAGCCTCAGACTCTTCATCCTTCTTGTCTGATTCAGCAGCGCTAAAACTGCTGCAACGTGAACGCGTGCTCACTTTCACATTTGGCCTGTCCCATCCCTGAGCTCGCACACAAGAATGCAGGGCCCCAGCATGCAGCCGTCCAGCAGCCAGTATGCCGACACAGAGCAACACATGCTGTGTCCTCTGCCTTGTGGTCACGCGCACCTTGCCCTGTATTTCCTGCCTCCCTCAGCCTGTACGTACACCAGCCCATATAGCCCACTGCAAGCCAACACACACACACCAACTCCTTTTTCACTGTCCCATGGCTGATTTTCAGTCTTTACATTAGTAGAGCTTCACATGTGAATCTCATCCTTGAATAATTGATTGTGTTGCTGTTTGCCAGTGAAGAGAGAGCAGATCTGCCTCCTGTAATTAAATCAGGTCTCCCTGATTTTCTGCCTCTCTGCTAGTTTATTTAGGCTCCAGACTTTCAGAGCTGTGGAAATCCCTGAAGAGCAGCTTTCCCCCATCCTCTAGCATCTTGTAGGCCAATCGCCATCCCTTTTAGTATCTCCATCACAGAGTATGTCAGCATGGATGATATAGGCAACAAAACACTGTGGAGCATCTTTAACTGTCATCGGTTTCACCTGGACTCACAGGGGTCACACACCAGAACAGGAACCTTTTGCCCCTTCCCTGCCTCAGTTTCCCTATCTGTAAGAAGAGGCTTGTAGGTGAGGCAGAGCTGTATTTTGAAGGTCTCAGTTCTTGATCCTTCTCTAGAAGGTGTCTTGAAGCTGGTGTTCAATACATCTCATGGCCCTGTCCGGCTCTATTTATAGATGTCAGCTGACTCCAAAGGCAGGTGGCTGTCCTTACCACTGGCATTTGAGGGCTACCTATCAACTCCAGCAGGCTCACCAGCCACCTGGTCTCGCAGCCTGCAACTTTAGTATCCCTGAGGCTCAGTGCTCAGGGTGTCTTTTTATAGATCAGTTTGCCCTGTCTGTGCCAAGTCTTTTCCCTGCTGCGAGAGATGTGAGAGGAGGCTATGAAGGCAGGGACTTTTGGAGGGGTTGGAGGATGTAAAGTCCACTGTGGTGTTTGTATATTCATGTCTGCTCCCCTGTCAGTTTCCTCCAACCTGGGAGTGTGAATTGTGTGTCTCTGCTAGATCTGATGCATGCAGGAGAACGGAGCCATAGAGAAGGGGCATCCTTTGGTGCAGGGACTATGAATCTCTTCTCCCATACCTTTGGAAAGTGAGTGCTGCAATCATCTCAGCAATAACAGCGTTCCCTTCCCTTGAGACTGAGAAATATGTCCCAATGGCACTTGGTGTCTTAATTGAAGGTACAGAAGCTGGACTTGCAACTGAACCCAGGTGGCCTGTTAGATTTGTTCTTAGAATTCAAGTCTTCCTAGCTCACTGAGAAGCAGCAAGAAAATCCTGTTACACAGCTCAGCAAAACTCTGAGTGCCTGAAGCTTGAGCAGGTTGGTGTGTTGTGCCTAGCCAAGAGGTTCAGGTTACAGGCTGTAACACCACTGGCATTTTTCAAGGGGAAGTTGAGGTCCAGAGAGTTCACCACCTCAAATAAGGAGGGAGGAATAGCTGCAGCGTGCAAGCTGTGAGCCCACCTGCTCAGGGTGTCTGTGCGCTGGGATAGCTACCCCAGCGTGGCATGGAGACAGGGAAAGGGAGGATGTGGCAACAGAGTAGGGCAGCTGCTGGAAGGGAAGAGCTGAGCAGGACAGACACCTATCACCTCACCTATCCAAGAGGAACCTCCTGCTGCTGTGCTCTGGTCCTTCCTAGTGTGCTGGGATTGATACTGTGATGTCTGTCACTCCTTCTGCGCTGCTGTACAGCCAGCAACAAGGCAGCCTCCCTGGAACAGAGAAGGGAGCTCTGTCCACACAGCCTCTGAAATCATGATTACACTGTGACTGGTGCTGAGGCACCGTATGTGAGGCTCTCTGCTACCTCTTGTCACACTGAGCACAGCACTGCCTAGAAGCTAAGGACTGAAAGCCAGGATTGTTCACAAGAGTGCAGCAGCTGAGAACTAACCCTGGGGCAGCTTAATGACCCAGCCTGTGAATGAGTTTGCAGAGAGCTTGTGGCCACATGTCTTCATCCTCACTGCTGTATGATAACCACTTCTTCCTACTTCCCCAGGTACTTCCCAGCCCCATCATCAGCTCCAATGGACCAGGGGAAGACAAGCTATTCCGAAGCCAAAGTGCTGATGTTGAGATAACAACAGAGAAGGAGCGGCTGAAGAAGATGCTTTCAGAAGGGTGAGGCTGCCTTGGGTACTCTCTGCTCCTGGCTCCTAGACTGGCTATTCCAGAAGAATTTGGAGAATGTCCCTGTCATCCCAATGCTCGCAGAGTCCCTGAATGACAGGGTGGTCGCAGCCCAAATGCTGTTGACTCAATGTTTCCTCTTCAGGTAGCCAAAATAGTGTCCCAGGCCCTCCATCGTACCCATTTCCCTTCTTCCCCAAGAGAAGGTTCTTCCAGCTCGGAGGTAAAATACGTGGCTCAGGCAGCGTGGGAAAGAGAATGCTTTGTGCCCGCATCAGGGATGGGTTGATGCCAGTTATCTACAGATCGGTAGTCTGTGATACCAGAAGATGTTCGCACGTCTCCAGCTGGCCTAAGGCTGCATTTGTGTTAATTCCCCTGATGATTCCAGCAAAGTCCCTGCTACTTCTGGTCTTTGTCTATTCAAAAGACTCCAGGCTGGATTCTGCCCTGTAGGGCCCATTGAGCTCCCAGCTAAATACTTAGAATCTATTTAAATTAAGAGCAAGTGTCGTTTGGTACCTTCTCCTAACTGCGGGATGGTAGTGGTTTTATTCAAAACAAGCTCAGATCTAACAAGGGTTTAAAAGTGGATTCACAGTCCTATATTGCAAAGCCCCTTTCTAGTAGCTGTGTCTCTTCCCCTGCCATTAAACTGACAGTGTGATTTCTGCAGATTCAAGCAAGCGTACATGGTCTCAGAATGAAATATTAACTGAGGATAAAGGAAAGAGATGCAGAGTCAGGGCTGGAACATGCATTACATTTTGGGAAGCAAAATCGAAGCCAAATTGAAAGCAATGCAGGAGCAGGGAGCTGCTCAGCTCTTCCAAGAGCATAGTTCAGTACATGTTTGCACTGGAACCTTCATGCTGAGACTCTCTTGCACTCCCCTGCTCTCTCACACAGTTCAGTGAGCGAGGTCCAGTGGGAAGCTGAGTTCTTCAGCCTCCAGGACAACAACAACAAACTCGTGGCTGCTCTCCATGAAGCCAACGCCAATGTGGACCAGTGGAAGAAGCAGCTGGCTGCATATCAGGAGGAGACGGAAACACTGCGGCAGCGGGTGAGCTGAGGAGGGCCCTTGCAGAGCTGGTCGGAGGAAACCATATTCCAGGGACAGATGATGCCCTTGGCCTTGTGCTCCCCTCAGTTTCCATGGGTGTCAGCAGGAGAGAAGCTGCAGATCTGGGGTGCTGCATGAATCTGGCAGGGAGAACATGTCAAGGAATAAGGCCACATAACCAGGGAGCCCTCACAAGAGCTCCTGTTCTCTGCAAAGCAAGCTGGGAGAGCACTGCGTCCCCCTGGATAAAGGGAGGAAGCCGGAGCACAAAACCAGAGAATATGAGCTTCCCTCTTAGATTTTCTGGGAGTGGTTCCCAGCTGCCAGCAATATCGAACAAGGGCCATGCTCCCCTGGAGCTGGGCATCAGGGCAGTCTTTTGACTGCTGACAGGCGAGATGAAAATTGCTCTATCTGCTATAATTAGCTTGGATCCAAGCTGCAACATCATGAAACCCGGGTGGCACAGTACAAACAACCCCTTGTTTGGTTGGAATAATAGGATCTTTTGACCTATGTAATGTCAGAGAGGTCACAGATCAACTGAGGAGGCCTGTGTGCGCGTCTGGGCAGAGGAGTGACAGTCACATGGTCAGGCTCATTGGGAGGGAAGAACTGCAAAGCATTTGGGAAAG